GATAATATCGTCCGTTTGTCTTAAGCCCCGACACAATGCAACGTAATCATCGTATTGTGCTTAGTATAAAATAATATTAAATTTTGTTCACGAGTCGGTCCACATTTAACTATACCTCGATATTTTGGGTCGACCCTGTTCTGAGGTTTTTACCCAACAGTAGACATGTAATCTGTCTGAAACTGCGTATCTATAATATGAGACAATAACGGATGTATGTCAACCCACCATAGTTTTGTCTCTGACGAATTTCAACAAATGTGTACGAAAGCGGGGTACTTCCGCCCTAATTTCGTCTACCACGTACCGTCTATTATATACATATAAYAATAATAATAWACTTATAATATAAAAATTATTATAATTTTTTTGTACACCTATGTATATACGATAATCTCACTGAAACTGTTTATAAAAACACACTGAGATAGGTATAGGTACATACGAAATATAACATTATGCATACGGCATTATATTATACGACGTTGTAATAATTCTCACAGACTTACTATATGGTATATCATATTGTAATAACACTGAAAACATCCGGCGTAAACCTGTTAGAAAAACGATTTTTAACGAGGGAGCTGCCATTGTATAGGAATTATTATTTCGCATTAAAATACGTGGTTAAATACACGCACATTACCCATGGTACACTAGGCTGGATGAATTACTAGCTAGGAGTAATTCAGTTGGTCGCCTCGTCCATATTACTCAGCATTCCATGTTAAATGGGTGGAATTTTTGATAGCGCTAAAATGTATAAATACATTTTTTTTTAAATAGTATTTAACTATTTTATAACATACTATTATTAGAGTACGGGAATCTTAAAAAATGCTTTTACTAAAACGATGCTTATTGTAGCCGTTGTTTATTATTATAATATGTATATATTATAATTTGTGAAAAAGAATCGACTATATCTTATAGTTCTATTTTTTTTCAATAGGTGGATACTGGATAATAAGACATTAATTTTGAAGACTATATAACATTATAACATTTTCCAACAGATGAAAAATGTATTTAGGCGGCACTGCGTATACAATATACATAAATATATTTCGTTTGTCATTTGCCCTGCACTTATCGTGAGAGGTGCGTACAAATACTTTGAATTACTTCAGCAGCGATCGTTGAAGAGTAATACAGTTTTTATTCTCTTTGTACTTGTATTTCTCTGACACCAACGATGGTACTTGGCTTCCGAGTTTGCGCTATTTTGCTCCTCTACCACCGTCACTCGTTTTCTCCAACCAATCGCWAACTGTTCGGATCATCACGCCCGTGCCATTCTAGAGACTCCTTTCGACCTATACTACTCGTTATTATGATAATAATATGTTGGGTACGACGATTACACTTTCATTAAAAAATGTTGGCTATCAGCGAACTGTATGGTACCAAACTATATGCGTAAATTATGGGCAGCGTCTCTTATCATAGCGTCGTTGTAGCCGTCATTGTTATAGAATCTCGTTGGCCGTTATCATAATATTATATTTGACATTCGTAGAGTAAAGAGTAAAACGATATAACGCAGTCGTTTTATATTTCGACGTATAATATTATGATCTTTATTCATTATTATCTACCGTAAATCACTTTTCCTATTCAAGCTGTACAAACACGTAAAAATAATAAATAACTTTGTCTTTGTTCAAGTCTTAATTTTTTATTTTTTTTTTGAATCGGTTTATTTTGTCGTATAAAATTGTGAGTGCGGTGAAAAAAAGTTGTATACACAAATCAAATGCGATGAATGAAAAAAATCGTTTACCTTCATACTACGCCTTCTCTTATAAACATCAAGTATTTAATTTTTTATCGTTCGACTAAAAGTGTGACGCATATATATATGTCGTAAGAACATTTTGTTTACATACACGGACACACAAACACATACACGCGCKTGGAATTAAAAAAAAGTCGACTTCCACTCGAAAACGAATTGCATGTGCATATTATATACATCGAAAGCGCGCAAGATCATTATATCGTATGRATAGACCGACTGTGCAGATGTTAAGGTCCGTTGTTGGTAGTGTGAATGRTTCTTTAATGTTATGTAAGTGTGTGTAAAACATCTACAAGCAAGATTTAGCCCCGAGGAAACAAATAAATAACATTTCGAACCTGGAAGACAGTTTTGTAAATATCCCCATATAAAGGTAATCGTCACAATTTACGAAACAATCGGTCGTCTGTCCGCTTGTCCATTGTTCAGCGRCCCTATAGACCTATACGCATATACGACTAAATACTGTCAATATATTTTGTTGGTCGACTTAATCTCTAGACAGYCGAATTGATTTTCGTCAAATATAACCAAACTGCTACGCGCGGGACTGAAGAGTCGCGTCAATAATGATGAAAGTCGATTATAGTTGGACAAACGGTGTAGGTATTTGGTATACTAGTTATAAGGCGCTGCAAGTTTGAATCTTGTAATTACGTTATTTTATTTAATAAAACGATTACATTCTATATAGAAATAATTTTCTAACTTTATATTATTGTCTTACTATTTAAATATGTCAATAAAGAAATTTATGATTTAAAAATTGGGAGATAAATGTTCTATGAGCAATATACGGTGGAGACTCAATATCCTATAGATTAAAAATGTATAACTCCCGAAGACCAAATATCCTATTCCAATATTTACATAGGACAAACCATTCTAAATCTGTGTACAATGTACGTAATATATATTGTAACCGACGCATTGCATTGGATCATTGTTGAGGAATTCGACATTTCGTTTCCAGTTTTTCATTGCCCGCTGTAAATATTCTCGAAAAGATATTTACCTACTCCAGAAAATTGCTCATGAATCATTAATTCAGTCGAACTCATACACTGCTGAAACGAGTTTGTAAACATTAATAGTGTTATCGACTCGGCCGTGGCCGGTTGTGTTGATAACGTTGTTGCCATAGCCACGCCGCGTGCCGTCCGTCGTGGTGCCCTACCTCCCACCCCTCACCACTATACCACCGAGGCCACATCGCCAGCAAAGCTCTACTATACTATATTATTATATTAAACTACCTACCTGCTCCACACCACTTCGAACCCCATCATTGTCGCTGCCGTCAATTTTTAGTCGTCTACCTGTGTGGCGGTGACGGTGAAAAGGACTGCAAGGTACATGTGATATACTTAAAAAGATTCCACCCGAACGCCAATCATCCAGCAGTCCTGAACCACCTCACCGCTGTCACGCACCCAACAATGGGTGGGGTGTAATCCATTTACGACAATTGTCAATTCTGTATACGCTCGAATAAAAAGAAAAACATAAACTATAAAATAGTATGTTATATAGTCACGCTCAAAGCTGAAAAGCTGAAATTAAATTATAATTCTATTATTATAGGACCCTCTAAAAGTGACATCTCCAGCCGTTCTACCCAACTTGCCATGTGTACCTACATTCAACGAGCCCTATTAAAACTTTTTTTTTTCATTAAAATAACGTGCTGGAGTATAATGTCCACGTAGATAATCATCATAGGTTTTACATAAGTAATAAAGATTAATTATTATACCAAAACTTTAAATAATTTTCATTTTGACGTTGAGTACAATAAGTATTATTTGATAAACAGACGAATTTTTATATGCCATAAACGTATTTTTATGATATTATTCATGACTGTTACTATTAAATCAATATTACAATTTGCTTACACATATTATACTATATTAAAATGTCTTCAAACAAATGCTAAAATGTTATTATAAGATATTAGCTTTTTTTAAAGTTAAAATATTGAACTCGGTGAATTATATTTAATACAAATATGGATATATCATAATATGGAGCTAAATACATTTTTGCTGAATTCACTGTTTATATGATGTATGGTGTTTAAACTCTATATTAAAAATAAATTATTGTTATTAGCTATTGTCATTGAACACACTACACTGATCGGCACAATATTAAACTCAAGTTTATTTTGAAAATATTTTTTAAAGGTTTTATGTTGAATTCATTTGAAAATTGAATATTCCACCGGTACCCAGGAGACGGAATTATATATATAAAAATATATTTATATTCTCTGTTGGTTGTAACTTTTTCCACCTGGGCCATGGTGTGGCACACTGGTACATACAACTATCRAACTAGTCCCTTCCCCGCCTATTATTTAAACATCCCCAGGGCCTCTTCTTTTTTCTCTTTCCAATGGCTCTTAAAAAACCCCGTGCCCTTAAAGAGGCACTCTTCTAGTCCACGACGTGTATATACAATATACATACGCGTACGTGCGAAAGGGGTATATTTGCTGTATTATTTTTTTTTGTTACTCCCTCAGTTGAGTGTTTCTCTGTCCCGTCAGACCTTTCGGTGGATGGATCGAAAAGTCACGAAACTACCACCCCGTGCTTCACCAGCGTGACATGGTGATGACCTTTAAAAAACAAAGAGAACCAAAGCACGACCCAGGGGGGTTTCTTTTGTTTTCTGTGAAATCCACTTTATATACAGGGTGGAGTCTACTGACATAAAAACAACAAATGTATAAAGTACAACTACGAAAATTATATTTTCAGCGGCTATCCAAACATAAATATAATTTTTAACTATAGTTTTTTTTTTTTTTTTGGCAAATGCTACTTAGTTAATTTAATTGACATTTCCTACGAAACATATACAACAAAAAATACACTTTTTTCGATGTATTATATTCTATACTTATGTATAAATATATTTATAATTCCGAATACTTTRTTGTTTATGTGTGTGTGAAAGTGCGCGCGTAGGTACGGAAATCTAAATTGTATTTAACTTAATGGAAAAGCGCCGTCGGGAAAATAGGAAATTACAATTGTCACGCACACGCTGTMGTGGACACGCAAGGGCGGTTCCTTAATAGTGGTTTAAATATTAAGGGAGCAAAATTGCTCAACGAAAATTTTAGCTAGTAACATGATGACTATTGTTTGCTGTTGTCAAAATTAACAAATTTTTTTTTCAATAGGTGAGAACGTTATTTGTCAGTGGTCTACCAATGGATGCCAAGCCACGTGAACTGTATTTGCTGTTTCGAGCATATGAGGTAATATAAAAACGTATATGATCTACTGTTTAATGTTTAACAATAATTATGTAATAAAACCGTGTACGAAACAGAATTATTAAGGTCAGACGGTACGCGTATTGTGGTGCCAAAATCTAATTTACGCCAATAACACTGTCGGTCTAGAATCACGAATAAATAAATCTAGTTTCCTAGTTAATAGTTTATAGAATTCACTAATCGATACTGCACATCTGCAATTTAATTTAAAACTATTTTTTATAGGAATTTTTATACGTAAACAAATAAAAGATATAATATTATATACTTTCCATTTTTTATTTTTTTTTTGTTGATTTGAATTGGTTATTATTATTATTATTTTTTTAATCATATGTCCGGTAACTATGGCCATTAGCTGTTTGTTTTGGGGACAGTTGATTTGGAACACGTAATGCATGTTTGGTAAAGTTTTCGATACTAAAAATCCCAGGTGGACACCCTTCCGAGAGCTAGAAATGTTGACCGGTACGTACACTTAGAGCGCTTACGCTAATGAGTGTAGGACACTCGGTCATATCAAGCCACGGAAAAGGATTTGCACGTGGCACGATCAAAATTATTTATCGAGACTGAAATAATTGAACAAGATATAAATTTATAATACATGCGCATTACACATACATAAAATACACGTTATAAACCTGATGGAATGATTGTCACAAAATAGGGGTTGATCAAATTAAATTCAGTATAAAATGACAGGATACATTTTTTTTTGTTCAGGTGAAATTTCGTTATTCGCAACCCATCCATCGGAAAAAAGTCTGCAGATTTAGAAAAATAATATTTTACTCATCATTAAAATATATGATGGCCCTTCTTTTAATTCATCATATATTAGTTGTTTTTATTTTATATTTAAGTACTTCATGTCTTCGAGAATCATATTAATATCAAAATAATAATTAATTTAATAAAACTATATAAACTATGCAAATTAATATRAATATTTTTTTAATAGAAGTATGTTTATTTATAAAATAATTTATTTTTTGTATTTTAACAAAGTTTGATCACGGTTTTTATATCTGCTTAACTTTTTTTGTCAGTCATAATTAAAATAATATAAAACAAATATAATAAAAAATAAATGATTAACAGCGTCGAGTAATGAAAAATAACTTATACAGTGTTTTCATCTTACAAACTACCTATTTAATATTTAGCGTAAACTGTTTTGCATGGAATAGAATCAAGAAAGTTACAGTTTTAATTATTAAGAAACCAAATTTTCACATTATGAAATTTTGTGAAAATTTTCTGTACAGCGTTGTTTTTATCTTTTTTATATCACAAATATAAAAAAATAAAAATATTGCACAGAAAATTAAATTTCGCACAGCATAATAAATCATAAATTGTACTCGTATTATATAATACGCTTAACTTACTGTTGATAATAATATAATTTTAATTTTAAAAGTTTTAATAATTTATAAATGAAAACACATTACTGACGTTTGTAGCCACTGCCACCCCCTTCAATTCAGCCTGGCCAACACATACACACATACGACATACTTGATAATCTAAAATTCCCACTGATCGTTAAATTTCACGAAGTGTACCTTTGTACACATACTTTCTATACCAGCATATAATTGATTGAGAAAATTTGATTTAACTTTACACGAAAATAATGTTACAACTTATAGTTTCAAAAACTTTTTGCAAACTGCTAAATTACATAACATCATAAGAAGGGTAGTTCAATTAACATTGCAGTATAACATACATATTGTTTGTGTCGTTTTGGCTAGGCTATGTGTGTAATACTCACCCAATTATATTACAAATATGTCTATAACAAAAAACAAACAGCCACGGTTTCATCTTACAGTATTAAAAAATAAGTCTCGTTATTCAATGTTTGTAAAACATATTCACAGTAGTCTATCTATCTCTGGTAAAGTAGGGGATGTCGATAATTGCGACTGCATACCCTTAAGGCATTAAAAATAACAGTTCCTAATTTTGAAACATCATCCTAGTAATAATAGGAAAAAAACGACTTCACCCTACCATTTTTTTTTTTTTTTAACTAACCATTATTATTACTCGATTATTATCTGTGGTTTACTCTTTTTATACCAATTAACTAAAATGGAAAAATAAATAATAAATAATAATATAAAATAAATATAAATAAATAAATATCATATAAACTATAAATATAACTTTATAACATCATTTGATGAAATATATAGCTAGGTAAACAATAAAACGATTCCTCAAATTATATAACACTTTTAGGTATAAGTCTAATTATWTGTATAATATAGCAACAATATAATGGCTCAAATGGCTGTTATAAAACGTTGTGCATAAAGATAATATTAATACTTAGTAAATTATCTATTTCGAATAAATATTTCAATACTATGATACAATATAATTTTATTTGTCATTTTAAATTGACTTATATTATCTAGGTACATAGATTTTAGCTATTAACAATAGCTAAAATTAATATAAAATATTCTGCTCTACTTCCTTTTTAAATTTCACACTACAACATGCCACTAAGTACTAAAATAAATTTGAATGTGATTATTATGTTTTTATTTTTACTTATATGCCTATCTTAAATCTAGAAAAAAGTTACAAAATTTAAAACACTCTAAAAACATAATTTAATTTTTTTTCTTATACTTGTTACCTACTTATTGTTTCCCAAATTACGCAATTAACATATCGTAGTTATACATTTATGAAAGAAAGGAAGTGATTTTTTTCTGAAAATGGTCACAAATGATAAATGTGCGTTAATCTGTTTACTCTAWTTGGAGAAAAATATTCATTTATTATATATCATTAGAAATTGCAGTTTAATCTTTAAAAAAAAAAAAATTCATTTTCTAATCAGTTATGAATATAGGATTGTCCATCAATGATGATTGAAACATATGATCAGGTTAAATAAATAACATTATTATATTGTTTGTATACATAAAATACAGGGTGTCCCAAAGAGATCTGACATTCTGACAAATGAAATAACTTTTGTTCTAATCAATATTTTTTAAAAATTTCTTTTAAATATAATCCATAGTCAATTGCGCTACATTTTTAGAATACATTTTTTATTTTTATTTTTTTATACTGAAAATAAAAAACTTAAAAATTGATAAATTTTTTTTCGAAATATTCAATATAGCCAATTTGTAAATCTGAGTTTTAGAAAAATGTATATGGTAAAAACACTTATTTTAGTCAAATGGCTGGTTTTTTACAATTTTTTTGAATATCAATATTTTCGTTAGGTAAATTATAGTAATTTATAGTTTATACATACGTTCGTGAACTTAGCGGCACTCATGTAACAGATTTCAATAAAACATATCCAACAATTTTGTTGGACATTGTTGGAAAGGTTTTACAATTTGTTGGACCGTCATTAAGAAGTTATAAACATTTTTCCAAAACCGCCGCTAAGTTCACACTAACGGCCGACAATAAATCAAACACATAACAAACTGTACAAAACTATTCTCCACGGTTTGTTGGACGTTGTTGGAAAGGTCCCGCCATTTGTTGGAACTCTGTTTATTTTATACGAATTTTTGAAAAATGCCTCTCAGCCAACTTTTTTTAAAAGTTCATAAAACAATCCAAAACTGTTGTAAACGGTTTGTTGGAACACTATTTATGGCGGTTTTGAAAAAATGTTTATAACTTCTTAATGACGGTCCAACAAATTGTAAAACCTTTCCAACAAACGTCCAACAAAATTGTTGGATATGTTTTATTGAAATCTGTTACATGAGTGCCTCTAAGTTCACGAACGTTTTATACATCACATATTATTAAAATAAATACAATAAAAAAAATAATTAGATTTTAACATTCACTTATTTAAAAATGTTCTTATAAAATATTTTTAAAAAACTTTATTATTATTTGAAATTACAAGGTTTCTAACATAAACTAGATCGTAATTTACTTAACGAAAATATTGATATTTAAAAAAATTGTGAAAAATCAGCCATTTGTCAAATAAGTGTTTTTACCATATACATTTTTCTAAAAATCAGGTTTACAAATTGGCTATATTGAATATTTCGAAAAAAAATTTATCAATTTTTAAGTTTTTTATTTTCAGTATTAAAAATAAAAAATAAAAATGTATTCTAAAAATGTAGCGCAAGTGTCTATGAATTACATTTAAAAGAAATTTTTTAAAAGTATTGATTAGAACAAAAGTTATTTCATTTGTCAGATCTCTGTGGGACACCCTGTATAGTCTAACATATATAACATAACTGACGTGAAATGATAATCTTATAACGGCGTCAATCGGACGGCGAAACTTTTATTATAGTATATTATATTGTAATACGCAAGGTAGGTACCTAAACCTACCCACGACACAAGCCGAGGAGTTATTACGAGCCGTGTCTAGGCAACGGGTGAACTATACACACCGATGTAATAATGATTTGAATTCGCGTGCAGAACCGTACTATTATATACAGCCTGGCGCGCGTGTGTAATAAATATTACGCAGTTATGTTTTTATAGACTGTACGTGGTCGTTCTTGTCCCTCAACGCGCGTAGGTACCTACTTATTTCGGGCAGGTTGAAATGCAATAATAATCAGTCGTAAAACCTCTGAGCGGTGGTTTTCGCAGTGCGATCGATATTCGATTCCAAGTTCGTATGACGCGGATGATAGACATATAATACCATTAAAACAACGTCCATGGTAATTCCCCATGCGAAAACTCGACAGTCGCTTTTTGAATACTTTGTTTGCTGTGGACCATTTTTAAAAACGATTTTCGAGAGTCGACGATTTCCTATCGACAGTGGCGCTAACACACATCTGCTGCAGGATTGTCAACTCGATTTGTGTAATCTCCGTTCGTGATTAAAAAACAAAACAAAACATTATAATACCTACATGCTCATCGAATAGCCATCCAGATCACGCAATATTGATAATCCGACGAAACCACCGTGTTTTACCAGTCGTCACCGCTTGCATTGAATCACAATTTGTATAAATATAATCCTGGACATTAYGTTATAATACATTAATAGTGCTTCCGTTGAAAGGACCGCACAGTCCCGAAAATCCTCTGCGCTCATGCTGCCCGGTATTACTGTGTTTGTGTATAMAAATACACGYTTTTATACGAGATTGATGCGCCCTTCTGCCTGCAGTCTTTCCCTCTCTTTTGAATAATATTATTAGTTTTTGAAAAATGCGCATGGTATCAATTTCGTAACTATATAGTTTATAATACTATAACTACACATAACACGTCAAATATATTTAAACTCCCACKCAAGGATTCACCCAATCGACAATGGTTCTTCGATTGGTGTATGCGATACGACATTCAATAACGGATCGTTAAAGGTTCTCGATACGCGTCGAATTATTACTCTGACTAGTCTTACATATTTAAATTAAATTTCTCCCCAGATTTACAGSTTTTGAGTTATCGTCCTATTGTTGTATTTTAGCTGACACGTTATGGCGTTGGTACGAAACTGTTTTATCGGAACCAAATAACATTATTGCTATCCGCAGGAAGTAGTATTTAAGACAATAAAAAAATAAATTACTATATATTATGCCTAGTGTTAAGATAACTAGTTTCTTGTCAGCAGCCATAAAACAGTGTTTGCTGGTTACTTTTTTGCAATGTCCAAGTGCAATCGCTCTGCGCTCTCTAACACGAATTATACAGTCTTCTTGGAAGTCAAAACTTAATTTACAWCTATAAAAATACCGTTGATAGGTTTTTAACGATTACGATGTATACATATAAATAATTTAATGTCTATGAAAATAAATTTTAGAATAAAAAAAACTCGGATACAACGTTCTTAGATGGTACATTTACTATTATAATAAATAAAGCACTGCACCTTTTCGGATCGGATAATATCATTCATGGCACGCCGACACTGATGTTCGTTTTTCCCCTATATACGACAGTGTGAAATCGACATTCGTGGCGTATGATAAATATAAAAACTCATTCTTATTCGATCCGTTTTCGAAATCCTCTGTGAATTCAATAGTAATGACTTCCCACAATCGTTAATGTGGTTCTTATCAACAACGACAACTACCACGATTCCGATTTGTACCGCAAATGTACCCTCTCATAACTACAATACACATTTCATCGGTTTTATTATCGAACACCGGTTTATTGCTGTGTCGAGAAGATACATTTGCTGTCGGATATTGCTGTCGTTATGTAATATACTAATATTATGTTTTTTTTTTTATTTATTCGTGTTTTTTTTTTTTTTAGGGTTACGAAGGATCTCTGTTAAAAGTTACAAGCAAAAATGGCAAAACAGCTTCGGTAAGCTTAAATAACTGACCAAATAAAAATCATAAAATTGTAGTAGTAACGTTATTATGACATTATTTTTACTTTTCATTTTTTTTTTTCGCAGCCAGTGGGTTTTGTTACGTTCCAGACACGCGCTGGCGCCGAGGCCGCCAAACAAGACCTTCAGGTGCGTTTTATATTATATTATATTTTATATATAATATATATAAATATATATGAACTATATATAACCTATAATGTTATTTATATTATTATTATTATATTATATATTATTTCCCCGTGATAAACTCTTTTTGGACTTTGATCGAAACTTCATCCCCCAAACGTGACGTGAATTTCTAAACAATATGGCATTATAAAACTTTATACTTTGTGAGGTACCAATACATAAATAAATATGTGTGTGTGTGTATGAGTGTGCGATACAATATCATATACGAGTATAACATCGAACATGCCAACCTATATATGTATATAACTACTATATAGTATTACGCTTATCACTGGCATTTAATATATTTATATAATATAATATATAAACTGCAGTAACCATAGTACACGTACGATTTATTATATAAAATGACGTATTGTATTAAAACTATTATTATTATTATGAGAAGTATCGCCGTATTTTACAAAGTATACAGCCGTAGTCACGCTAATTCTACTCCCTCCCCAAAAGTTAACTTCATGACATTTTCCAGCGTATATTAAGCAAGAGAGTTTATAACCCGGAAACGTAATGGACGTAGACGTATAAAATCACTTGGTTTACCGTGTACAGCCACGAGTAMGCGCATAGGTTGATGTTTACGTGTTCTTTTTTTAAAATTAATTTTCCAAAACATTGCAAACAAAACTTAACACGCCAGTTCTATATATGTCTGTTCAAAGCTTAATTAACTGTACATATTATGTATTATGTATACGCACGTTGTATAATAATATTGACTCTAAAATAAAACGAGATCTATGACTCAAAACGGAGTTGTGTTCAACGTTTGTTTTTACCGTCATTATAATTATTTAAATGCTTAATATTACTATAAACCAACAAAAAAACAATTTATTATTATTATTATTATTATTATTATATATGCACTTAAGCGTTGTGACCTTTTGTCGAGCGGCCTTAGTGAACAGATATATAATTGGCAAGTAGTTTTATACGTCTACAGGCCAAGACTTTTACATTTAGATTATATGTTAAACGATAACCACAGACGGGTAGTTTCCGTAGTGAAATAAGCACGAGTACGACGAGCTCATATTTATTAGAAAATGCTGTCTCGTATTATACCACGCGTAGTGATATCATACGTAAATATAATRTTGGCACCGCGCGCGAAGAAAGAGTTTTTGCAAAAAAAAAAGAAATACCAAACGTAAACTTCGCGTGTCGCGTCTAGACCAGCACTCCAACCCTTTCTCGTCACAACCCAAATYGTAGTCGTACTTGAGCGGAAATTGCCCGCTCTGATTTCCGACACGGGATGGTAGCACTGTATTGTTGTGTGTTTGGTTTCGGCAGCAGGGCGTCCGGTTCGATCCCGACATGCCGCAAACCATACGGCTAGAATTCGCTAAAAGTAACACGAAGGTTAGCAAGCCAAAACAGCCCGCCAACGCAAACGTCACGCCCAACACGCACCAAGGCCTGATGCACCCGCTCACTGGACGTAAGTAATCTGCATATACCTCGTCTACTTCCAGGGCACCGACAACCTACCCCGTCCACGATTRTTACTATATACAGCTTATTATATTGTAATAATATAATACTATAGGGGGTGATTTGGACGCTAGAAAAATGAACGAACCCCAGTTTTCGATAAAGACCGGCAGGCATAGAGAAACGCGCGTCTATAATTATCTATAAATAGGAGTAATAGATATAATTGACATTAGCTTGTGACCTCTGTCGGCTTGGGTACGACCTTTTTGAGGTATATCTACCAATTTTAGTCCAMGGCATTAAAAAAAATAATGTACGGACGACACACTTATTGCTGTCAGCTCGTTTATCACTTTCTAATATGCGGATCCGTTGCTCAGAAAAGACTCGAATTTTTAATTTTTACAACTTATCGATATTATTACAAGAGTACTTTGMGTAAAAGCTAATACATGGAAGAATCAATATAATATTATATTAATKTAATTCTAAATAAATATTTAAATATGACCTACATTATGGTTACAATAGTGTCACGCTTAATAACTTTTGAAAATAAATTAATATAATCTGGTATTTCATTTTTACCGTGCAGATATATTCTCCTTAAACAGCGTTGAGTAACTTTATCTTCAAAACGGCACAATCTAGTACTGTATATACATTCGACTTTCGATCGCCGTTGCTCCACTTTTACCACCCCTCACCACATCCCTCAAAAATACTACCCACATCGTACCCGTGATTTCTGACACACTGATGTTATTATGTCATTTTAAATATTTATCTTGTTCATATTTTGYCTTTGTCATCGTCTAGATCTAGGYGCCCCGTTCTTCACCGGTGCTCCGGCAGAGTTATGGCATCATCCGTTGGCGTACGCTGATATGCCGACTGCAGCCACGGCCACGGCTCTACAACACGCAGCTCTTGTCCATCCGGGACTACATCCACATCCTCAACAGGTAGTGTGTGAAATATAAATCTATGGATAGCATTTAAAAAAAAAAAATAAATACCGCTAACATATAATATTATATAACGATGTTATACCAACGCTTGTGCAAGCTTGCCATAACAATTATATWTCTGTGTACTATATAGATGACGTCGTCGTCCTATAGTTATAAGGAATTTAGTACCTATCTATATAGCTTCGCTTCTAAGTTTTGTGTGTACATCGAAAACGCTGCATTAAATTTGGTATAAATTTACATTTTAGACGTACAGATATCGAATCGTATCAGATACCTATACAATATTTACACGGTATAAATACAAATCATGCCTTATCTTATAATATGATTATGGTATGTGTTCTCGCGAAACAATAGTTACCAATTTTCAACATAACAAGAAAAATAAGTGCAATGACAAAGTCAAGCAATTTAAAAATTGCTTTTTATTGTTTTTTTTCTTCTTGTTAAATGTGTTTTGATCTTATTACAACTTTAGAAATTGCGTTTTCCCAAGCTTTTATTTTTAATGGGTTTATGAAATATTAACATATAAATACATTTTCGTTACATTTGGAATGTCCAGCCGCTCCCTGCATATAAAGTACTCGAAAAATATTAGAAATGTCCAAGTTAAGGTTAAATAAATAAAACATTGCTTTTTACTCAACTCAATTTTAAGCATTGTTATAACATTCCGTTTGTTTTAAACRTTCAATCAAATCTAAAAAATACCATTTTATTAAATTTTTATTAACATGTCTATAACTTGTTTCTCATGAATCTCTCGGTAAATTTTGGTCTGGTGTAGTAACGGCAGGGAGTAAAACGAATAACAACTAAAAGCACATACATTTTTCATGCACGGATCATGATCATCAATTTTATTGTTGCAATATACACTTATTAGCCACGCATGTGTATAATAATATTATTTTGTAGGTATTTTTTTTTTCATCATAATTTTCGATGTGAGATATTGTGGTAATAGCGCTGCCCTAGTGCCCTTGGATTTAGAAAAAGGATTAAAGGAATTATAATACGACTACTTACTGATGATTAAATTTAATACAGATTATTTTATTTATTAAATATATCTATATAATTTAAATTTAAAATAAGATGATGTTAAAAACGTTAAATAAATATATTTCGACTTCCTATGTTTGTAAATAATATAGTAAGTGAAATGAATCATATTTCATTATAAAAGTATAAATACTAATTAATTTTGTTCAATTTTACAATATTATTAATTACAACGAAATTTACTTCAAATGAATATTATTGACCCGAGTAGGTATTGATCATTTTAAATTATAATTTATATCTCCATAGACTTTAATTATTGGTTATCCATAAACAATTTTTGCCCAAAACTACCTGAGAACAGATATAATTGTACTGATGCAGCCATACAATCATATTTTATAAAGCCAATCACACATTGCAATTTCTTTAGCTGCATATTTACGAATGGAAATAATTTTATAAAAATATATTACCTATAGTACATAATATATATCGCGCATTACGATCATCACAATAATTAAACTACCATCACTCAGAAAAAAAATCGTTCAATGTTTTAATGAAATGGGACCATTATTTTAGAGTACAACGGTTTACCTAGCATCAATATTGAATTATATTAAATTAATCAAATTTTCTTTAAAATAAATAATATTTAATACATTAATATCCATAGTTTAAAGATGACTAAATCAAATTAACGAAACATAAATGTTTGAAATAATGAAGTCCATAGATTCGTTCCATACACACATCATACTTAAATGTAACAAACATATAATTAATTTAAAGAATAGTTTGATAGGTTTAAATACCTCAACRCCCCATGTTTTAATAATAGTAAGACATTATTAATAATAAGTGTTTTATTCCCGATTAATTCTAAATTGATTCAAAATAATGATTTTTTGCATAAACCCCGAAAATGACAAAATACAATACGATCATAAGGCTCTTTGGTGGAGACATCGATCAGGCTTGTAGTTTCACACACGYAGTGTTATAATATGTAGCTTTATCGAATAGTTAGTATATTTATAGCGGACACGGTTGCACTGCACTTTGGCGAAAATGTCTTGCTCATGGCTGCCAGCGGATTGGCTGTTTAGAGTCGTATTCTGTGGCCCCCGACCAGCGAAACGGCCCATCTGCATCATTTCACCTTCAAAGGCAGTAAGCACACGTCGGCCGGGAAGACGGGAACACATTATTCAGCGGCGATTATAATAGATGCATCACGCGTTAATATGTTATTGCTTTGCACATATTTTGTTCTTCCACCGCCGCCGTGTCCGGGACCACAATATATTTTATAAGAATTTCATTTTATGACAATTTATTAGTTGTTGTTATGTGTGTATAATATGTGTGTAGTGTAGTGTTATGTTATACCTAACCGCCCGCGCTACATTTGATGGCGTAGCTGTATAGTTTAGTCATAGTATATCTAGTCACGCGTGCACGTGCGATGGAAAAATAATAATCAGAAAAAAAAGGAATGTAACGAACGAGAGACGATTTAATATAGTTATTTGCGTAGCTTGCGGTGAAGGTACTATGCGTAATAAAATCATATTAGGATTGGCTCGTTTTCAGCCGACGTTGACGCTGGGCCCACACGGCCTTCCGTTCCTGCCCTCCCCCGCACTGCCCTCRCCGCCCAACCAGCAGCAGCCCCAGCCACCCTGTTCCACGCTGTTCGTCGCCAACCTTGGGCAGTTCGTGTCCGACCACGAGCTTAAAGACATTTTCGCCAGGTCAGTAGTCAGAAAAAAACAAAAAAAAAATATAACAAAACCAACAAAAAATAAACAACAACAATAACATTATATTAATATAATATTATCTATGATTACCTATGAGTACCTTTCTGTTTTGTCAGTGTTTTCTGTGTGTGAGACATCAAAACGCGACCTTAATATAGATAACAACGGTCTCGAAGATTTGAATTTAGATTTAGATTTTTCGTGTTATTGTGATGTATGAAATATATTGATATTGATACCAATATATAAATTTCGAATACGTTATCTTTTCTTATAGAAGGTACGAAAAATGTTTTCGGCATATTTTTCCAAACATGTCATGAATCCTCACGTGATGGTTTGTGTAGTTGCCACTTGTGGAATATAACATTTTATACATTTGGAAAACTGTCCATATGCAATGAGTAATGACTATGATATTAAATCTATATGCTGGTGACTTTGGTGTTTGTCTTTAAACAACATGTGAGACGTGTTATTTTGTGATCGCTTTAGATTTGCACACAGCTGACGTGGCGTCGTTTATGATCRGCGCACGGCGAGCTCAACACGAAATTTACAATATAAAGTTATAATTTATAATGTATTTTTATTTAATCTTTTATAATATTATCACTGTGATTCATAAACAAGTTCGGTAAACTTCTTCGGAACCGNAAAAAAATCGTTCAATGTTTTAATGAAATGGGACCATTATTTTAGAGTACAACGGTTTACCTAGCATCAATATTGAATTATATTAAATTAATCAAATTTTCTTTAAAATAAATAATATTTAATACATTAATATCCATAGTTTAAAGATGACTAAATCAAATTAACGAAACATAAATGTTTGAAATAATGAAGTCCATAGATTCGTTCCATACACACATCATACTTAAATGTAACAAACATATAATTAATTTAAAGAATAGTTTGATAGGTTTAAATACCTCAACRCCCCATGTTTTAATAATAGTAAGACATTATTAATAATAAGTGTTTTATTCCCGATTAATTCTAAATTGATTCAAAATAATGATTTTTTGCATAAACCCCGAAAATGACAAAATACAATACGATCATAAGGCTCTTTGGTGGAGACATCGATCAGGCTTGTAGTTTCACACACGYAGTGTTATAATATGTAGCTTTATCGAATAGTTAGTATATTTATAGCGGACACGGTTGCACTGCACTTTGGCGAAAATGTCTTGCTCATGGCTGCCAGCGGATTGGCTGTTTAGAGTCGTATTCTGTGGCCCCCGACCAGCGAAACGGCCCATCTGCATCATTTCACCTTCAAAGGCAGTAAGCACACGTCGGCCGGGAAGACGGGAACACATTATTCAGCGGCGATTATAATAGATGCATCACGCGTTAATATGTTATTGCTTTGCACATATTTTGTTCTTCCACCGCCGCCGTGTCCGGGACCACAATATATTTTATAAGAATTTCATTTTATGACAATTTATTAGTTGTTGTTATGTGTGTATAATATGTGTGTAGTGTAGTGTTATGTTATACCTAACCGCCCGCGCTACATTTGATGGCGTAGCTGTATAGTTTAGTCATAGTATATCTAGTCACGCGTGCACGTGCGATGGAAAAATAATAATCAGAAAAAAAAGGAATGTAACGAACGAGAGACGATTTAATATAGTTATTTGCGTAGCTTGCGGTGAAGGTACTATGCGTAATAAAATCATATTAGGATTGGCTCGTTTTCAGCCGACGTTGACGCTGGGCCCACACGGCCTTCCGTTCCTGCCCTCCCCCGCACTGCCCTCRCCGCCCAACCAGCAGCAGCCCCAGCCACCCTGTTCCACGCTGTTCGTCGCCAACCTTGGGCAGTTCGTGTCCGACCACGAGCTTAAAGACATTTTCGCCAGGTCAGTAGTCAGAAAAAAACAAAAAAAAAATATAACAAAACCAACAAAAAATAAACAACAACAATAACATTATATTAATATAATATTATCTATGATTACCTATGAGTACCTTTCTGTTTTGTCAGTGTTTTCTGTGTGTGAGACATCAAAACGCGACCTTAATATAGATAACAACGGTCTCGAAGATTTGAATTTAGATTTAGATTTTTCGTGTTATTGTGATGTATGAAATATATTGATATTGATACCAATATATAAATTTCGAATACGTTATCTTTTCTTATAGAAGGTACGAAAAATGTTTTCGGCATATTTTTCCAAACATGTCATGAATCCTCACGTGATGGTTTGTGTAGTTGCCACWYGTGGAATATAACATTTTATACATTTGGAAAACTGTCCATATGCAATGAGTAATGACTATGATATTAAATCTATATGCTGGTGACTTTGGTGTTTGTCTTTAAACAACATGTGAGACGTGTTATTTTGTGATCGCTTTAGATTTGCACACAGCTGACGTGGCGTCGTTTATGATCRGCGCACGGCGAGCTCAACACGAAATTTACAATATAAAGTTATAATTTATAATGTATTTTTATTTAATCTTTTATAATATTATCACTGTGATTCATAAACAAGTTCGGTAAACTTCTTCGGAACCGGTGTTATCTATTATGCAGGATGATTCACCAAGCATGCTCACCTATATTTATTCCTTTCATGATGAATTCATTCAAATCGTAAATTTTGGAATTTTTAAATATACTCGACATTTTTTTTAAATTCTTGAATTTGTTTGTACTACTTAAGAGTGTCAAGTGTCATGCAAACTCCTGTTTTTTCAAATGAGAAACATCTTTTTTACGGTAAATTATTTAGCGGATAATTTTTTGAACATTTTGATTTGCCTATACAAAATTCAATTTAGTAGATTATTAATCATTAAAATGTTTGMACTTAAGATAAAAGTCCTTAAAAACGGTTAAACAAAAATATAAAATAATCTTGATAATGAAATTAGTATTTATTATATTTAGGCCATTTTTATAAATTATTTATATTAATGGATTAATATCAATGACAAAAATGTAAAAATCATTATAGCCCCTCTCTTATAAATTCATTATTACAGAACTTTTATCCTTAAAACACCCAGTTAAATAACTCAAAATCTATTCGKAGATACAAATTTTGATTCTGAAACGTAACATTTTTAGAAAAAATATCTTTTAAATAATTTATAGTTGAAAGGAGGGGAAGTAATTTGAAAAATAGAAGTTTTTATTTACATAGAACACTGTTTAAGTAGTTCCAAAAATTTCAAAAATTTTAAAATATAGTCTTCAAGTAGGTAAATCCCTAAAAACAGATTTTAAACAACTGAATTAATGAAGAAAAAAGGAGGTGAACATGCTTTGCGAATCGTCTTAAGTATACTACAATTTATTACACCATACAACGTATTGTATGGTTCCTGTCTTTAATATCAAATATAGATATACCTACATAGWATTAAGTGTTGTCGCATTTTGTGAGAAAATTTTATAATTCACGTATTTACAATAAAACATTGACGTCATCAAATGGTTTTTTAGTTTAAGATATAAATATGTATTATATATAAAATTTAGGATATATTATAAGATCCAAGTTGGCCCGAGAAAAAAATGACAGGATTTTTTTTATTGTTTTTTTTTTTTCAAATATAGAACGAGTTACAGTCAGTCAAAGCAGACGTTTAATTATTGGCCGACCACCTATAAATGAAGACATTGATAAACGTATTTCTCTATACCCATGTACATAAGAAAACATATTATAAGGTGAGAAGGTGGAGGGCACAAAAAATCGTTAGGCACAATATAATAATATACCATTACATAAGCGGCGAGGGGGATTTTTTCATGACACTTGGACGAGATTCTCGAAAGAGATAAACATATTATTTTATAGTCTTTATTCGATTTTTTTTCTATTCTCATTTACAATGGGGCTACACGTGTGAACAAGACAAATACATAGCTGCACGCAAACACAGAAATCAATAGACGCGAGCTTAAAAGAACTAACAGACTAAAATTCCGTATTCCTTTCCCACCACTACTCGAAACCATTCACTCAATCGAACTAAACAATATTATATTTTATTTTATAGTTATTAAGAGGACCGTCACAAAAACACTAAGAAATTAACGATGTCTTATTTATTTGTTTTTGTTTCTTTGTTTTTATAGGGAGTATGCTGGCCAAAAGAAATTGGACAACGTCAATTTCACGTATACTCACATGCAGTTGAACAACACCTGACAACTACAAGATAGACTATCAGTACCTGCCCAAGTCTAGATAACGCGCGACACGACAAAAACAACCTACCAAATCCCTATAACGGAAAAAATTAATTTAAGTAAATTTAAATTTAAAAAAAATACTATTGAATAATTATTACTAGCTTAAAGCTTCTTAAGCTGTTGTACAAAGCAGTAACAATTTCCTTGTTCGCCTGTAGTGTTTAAAAACATATTCATCATATTTATATTATATAATATTATATAGTGTACCTAATTCCTAACTTTTTTCCCTAAGCTTTTAAACTAATACCTAAATAATCGTCCTATGCTTGTTTAGTGGGTAGTATAAGATCTTAAGACTCATCAAATCTGTGATTGTTTCTCATGTATTTTTTTTTTTTTATCCTAAAAAATTGTCTATTCTCGTATAGGCGTGGTTCAGATGTTAGCAATAATAATTACTAATAACAAACAAAAAAAAGTAAATAAATAAATATAAATGTAAGCGCGCTCATTTACATTCACTAAATACATATCAATAATGCTTTGAAAGGGAATTAACGTTATACATTGTAAATAATTTTATAAAAGACTAAGTCTGTTAGGATAGCCTGACGTTAACGAACTGCGTTAGATCGATCAGAGCGTATCGTGCAGTCCGTATCGCTTCGGTTGGTTC